GTTTTTCCCTTTTTTATTTTCTTCCTCCTTCTCTGAACTGATTACTGTTTGGCTTTTTTTCCCTTTCATGACTTTAATCATATACTATTTTCAGAGGCGTTTGGTTTATGAATTAAAATTATTTTTGATTTACGTGTATTTTTTATAAGAGAAAATACTGTAACGAATCATAAATCATGATTTAAATCGGGGTACGAATCCCAACCAAACAACCCCTTACTAATTTATTTAATTACAGATTTCTTTGTCAGACTTTGTCCACTGAGTTTTGAAGACCTTATTCATTTCACCGATTCGAGTTTTCAGTTTTAAGTTTCTACAGTAAAAAATTTTTAGAAAATATCACATTTAACTTTTTCTGTTATAGTGAAAAGCTCTCAGAAAATATTACATTTCAATTTGAATTGAAAACTCAAATCTACAAAGTAAACAAGACCTACGTGTGACACTGTCATTGCTTATTTACTGCAGTGGATATTTGGCTCTCTTTTAGTATATATAATAATTTGATTACAGATTTTTTCTCCAGTCGTTAGGTGCTAATTTTTGAACTGCGACATGTGATATCATTGGTTATGTACTATTCAAATCTGCGGAGTTACTCTCTTTTAATGTATATAAGAAAATGTTGTTGCTCTGTATTAATTTGGTGTGTAAATTGCCCTTTCTTTTTTCTTACACTTGACATCTTTCTTTTTCTGTTCCATCCTTGGTTATTTACTCCTCTGCTTTATCTTGGCATATTTACTGCTCCATTCTTTTAGGTCTGTTTCTTTCACTTCTGTTTGGTTGGCTGATATTCCTTCTTTAAGGCAGCGTTCACAGGACAACATTTCAGATACTATTAATAACTTTTGTCTGTATGTTCTTAATATCTGTTGTTGATGCTCAGTCTATTGATTTGTTTTAGTGCTATTCTTTTCTATTGTTTCTTATAGTGTTTAGACCAATTTATTTTCATTATCAATAAATGTTTGTAATTTATGATTGTCTTTTTTTACGTTTCATTGACAGATAGTGCTGATATATAGAATTGTTGTTTATTTGTTGTTCTATAATGGTATACATATATATATATATATGAATATACGTATTCTTACTTAACATATTTTATCTTTACTTGGATTTAGTATATAGCAATGATAGTTATAATTGGTTTTTATTTATTTACTTTCATATAATTTCCTCAAAAATTGCTATCGATATATTTTTCATATTTAGATTATTATTTTCTTTGTGCTTTTTGACTAAAACTATTTGAATATCTTCCTTTTTTTCTCCTCTTTTTGCTTAGTCTAATAATTTTGGGTTTTTAGTTGTTCAGTTTCATGCTGCTCTATTTGTTATTAAATCTTTTAGGTTCTGTCTCTTTGGCCTATGTTTAGTTGGTTCATATTCTCTGTTTAAAACAGTGTTCACAGAACATTGTAAAAAACCTATGATGACAATATTATATATCCGCATATAAACATCTACAAATTTATTCTGTACAATAAAAATTACTAACTTTTTATACAACTCATAACTACTACTCACGTGGGTAGCCAACTAGTAATGTCTATATGTTCACACTCGATAGAGTCTTGTGTGATAATTCTTAAGAAGAATATTTTTTTTAGGTAGAAAAGCATACAAGTCTTTGTTTTTTCTTCATAAAATAATTATAATGTTCATGTTGCAACCTGTAAAGTGTATAGCTTCTTCTTCTTTTTCTTTTTCTTTTTTTTCGTTGGAATGTAAAGCTTCTTTCTTTGCAATAAAGAGAATAAACATTTTTTTAAAGGTATTTATGTCATAAGTACGACTTCTCGCCACTTTCAATTAAGAAAATGAGTATGATTATAAAATTTGTTTTAGTTTTTGTAGTTTAGACTTTAGAGCATATAGATTTAAAAAAAAAAAACAAAAACAAAACGCATAGAAAATGACCGTTGGAAAAAAAAAATGCAAGAAATAGAGCAGTAATTGTGAGCTCATGTACCAAGAAATGAGACCGTCCGCACGAAATTGCTACTCGGATTTTCCCTCACCTCACGCACGTGATTGAACTGATAAACCTTGGAAACTGCACATTGAAAACTGACGATTGTTTTATTTTTGTCGTATAGCCGACGACTTGACTTCCTAAGAAAATAGAAAAGTTCGGTACAATCTTGAAAACTGACGTTTGTTTTATTTTTGTTGTATAGCCGACGACTTGACTTCCTAAGAAAATAGAAAAGTTCGGTACAATAGCAAAAAAAAAAAAAAAAGAAAAAAAAGAAACAAATTAACAAAGGAACTTCTTTTGTGTTGTAACTTGTGTTTAGAGATCGATGTCGACGAAAAAAAGGTTAATTTCAGCAGCTCTCTTGTGGCTTCTCTTCCTTTTCCTAACCCTAACTTTTATTCTGGTAATTCCAATCTCCTTTAATATATAAAAGATTCTGCAAATTTTTCGATCTTCTTAGGTGATTCTGATACCGAAAAAATTGCTTTTTTTTTGGGTGATTGATATTTTATTTCAGAGTAGATTAAGCGATAACAAAGCGACTTCTGGGGAAACCCATGAGGTGAGTGATAAGCTAATTTATCAGGAAGCCATTTTTATATGTGTATTTTAGCTTCTTTTTTTTTTTTGTGGGTCTGAGAATGGTCGTTTTGGTGTTAAATAGGAGACTGATTTGGAAGAGGTTACTCACAAAGTTTACTTCGATATCAAGATTGATGGGAAACCCATTGGTATGAATTGCTTAACAATTAGATTGATAGCTTCATTTAGCTAATATTTTTGAGATATGAACATGGATTTTCCATGTTGATGCTGTTAGTTTTTTTTTCTTTTTTCTTTTTTTGGTTGCTGAAAGCTTATATTGGAATATCAAACCACACTGGGACAGCAACTAATTAGTTCATACTTTTGTTTACCACAACACAATTAATTTTGGAGAATTCCATTGCATACGATCAGGCCAAAATTTTAAACCGCCATATCTTCGTCAAGTTCTATTAAATTGTCATACTATATCTGGGTTTGAAATTGTGTCGTATCCGTAGAGTATTTTTCTTACCCTACCATAGAATCTTCTATTAACTTTTCTTCCTTTTGATGAACCTTTTCTTTGGCATTGTACTATGAATCATTCTATTAAACGTTGTGGAAATTTGTTAAAGCTAAAAGTAACATATTTTCACGCACAGCGCGTGGAGTATTCTTAGATAGATGACATGTGAAAGAAAATGGGCTCGTCTGTGTTCTTCACATCAGCATTATCACTGTAAATTGGACTCGCCCTTAGAAGACTACTTGTAGATATTCCTGTTTTTCAAATTGGAAAAGTATATGGAAAATGAGTTTAATGCCCTACTAATATTTTTGTTCTTGGTGATTGGAAGAAGAAAAAAAATCTTCTGTCTTGCTTCCTTTAGTACGCTCATTAGCTTTTTTTGGCTTTCAGGTCGCATAGTCATGGGCCTTTTCGGAAAAACGGTTCCTAAGACCATAGGTAGGCATCTTAGTGCAGTGAAAATGGTGTCTTACATCTGTTTGTTGAGACCTCTTATTATGCAAATTGTAACCAATCAAATGTTCTTGATGCAGAAAACTTTCGAGCGCTTTGTACTGGTAGCCAAGTAACTTAATGCTCCTTTTCTTATAACTGTACCCATAAGGCTACTTCTGTTTAAATTGTTTACTTGCTGTCTCATAGTATTCTATGAGGAGGGAAGGGAACTGGGAAAAGTGGAAAGCGTCTTCACTACAAACAGAGTACTTTCCACAGAATTATTCCCAGCTTTATGATCCAGGGAGGCGATTTTACTCGTGGTGACGGAAGAGGTGGAGAGTCTATTTATGGCGTTAAATTTGCAGATGAGAACTTCAAGCTAAAACACATTGGACCGGGCAAGTTAAAGCCATGTTCTTTAAGAAAATTATCCTAGAATTATAACAGTAGTTGGGTGATTTTGAAGTAAACCTAATATATATATAT